TTGTTGCAGCTCTATTCACAATAGCAAAAACATGGAACCTACTGTGTTGCCCATCGAAGCTGAACTGGATAAAAAAAATGTGGTGCATATACACAATGGAATATTATGCAGCCATAAAGAAGGACAAATATATGGACTTTGCAGCAGATTGGATGGACTTGGAGTCAATCATACTCAGTGATATATCACAGAAACAAAGAACTGAGTTCCATATGTTCTCACTCATAAGGTGACCTTGAACAATTATAATGCTATAAGAAAGTGATTGGCAGTGGAAAACTGTCAGGGGAGGAGGGGTGGGACTGGCAGTTGAGGGAAACTGCCAGGGGTGCGAGGGGCACATCTTATCAACAAGGGTACCTGCATGATCAGTGTTTGTATACCTAACCCTGAATTGTACCCCACATCTTTATAATAAATAAATAATTTTAAAAAATAAATAAAGTATGTCCTGGTGAGAAGCGAGATAGTTTTACAAGATAGTCTTTGCAGGGAAGGGGTTGCAGGACAGGTCAGTGATCCGGCAAGCAGGTGCACGGAATGCCAGGAAACTTGCCTGTGTATTGGGCAGAGAGAGCTCTCCTGTACCAAGATTTTTGTACTGCAGGGGTGGGGCAGCTCAGGTTGCTGATCCAGGTATCTGGATGGTTCAGATGTCTGAGGGTATGTCCCCTTGGCAAGAAGCAAAGTAGCCAGTGGTGTAACAAAGGTCTTTTCAGGAGAAAAGGGTAGCTCAGTTCATCCAGGTGAGTAGGGGTGCTGAATGCTCAAGAGTGTGCCAGGCTTGGTGTGGCAGGAACACCAATGTACCAAGTTCTCTGTGCAGGAAGGGTGAGGCTGCTCAGCTGCCCATCCAGGCTGGCAGGTGCACCAAATGTCTGGGGATATGCCTGGGCATAGAGCCGAGAGGACCTCTCTGTAGCGAGATCTCTGCACAGAAAGGTTAGAAAGGATGAGGCTGAGAGGTGAACAGATGCTCTAGACGCCTGGAGATATGCTTGGGCATGGATTCGAGAGGGCCCCTTGCACCAAGGTCTCTGCACAGAAAGGGCGGAGAGGCTCAGGCTGCCAATCCAGGTGGGAAGGTGCTCCAGATGCCTGGAGATATGCCTGGGTGCGAGACAAAGGCGGCCACTGTGCACCAAGATCCCTACTCAGCACAGGTGGGGTGGCTCGGCCTGCTAACTCAGAAGTACAGAAATGGAGTCTGCCTGCTCCTTGTATTACAGGGGCACAATTCCCTGACTGAGTTGGGCAGTAGGCTGGGATGCCTAGGACTGACACTCGCAAGCTATTTCCAGGTTGCAAGCCTGACTCTGGCTGCAGGTCTTGCTACCTGGGAGAAATCATGGCTTCAGCAGTTTTTCTGCCACTAAGGTTGCTAGTTTGGGCATCCAGGTAGGAGGTTTCTTTTTTAACCTGCTGCCACTCAGGCTGCTATTCTCTGCATGCAGGAGTGGGGTCCCTCCTGTTCTTTAGTATTATGGGGACATACTATCCCAGTCGACCAGGCAGGGGCTCTCAGCAGTGACACACAGAGATCGATTCAGGGTCCCAAAGCCGACCTTGTTTGTAAGTCTCACTGACTGGGAGAAACTGTGGCATCAACCACTCTTCTCTCACTCCAGGCCTGCGACAGGAGTGAGCCCAATTCTGGCCCCTACTTCCGGGGAGTTCTCTACAATCCCTGCTCAGTTTCAGCTGTGGGGGCCCTTCCCTCACTCTCAAGCAATGCTCCACTCTGTGGTCTAAGATTTAAATGCCTGCACTGGTGACTGTTGCTGAGTATTCAATTACTGGTCTGAGCTGGATTAAAAATGGCATCTTCCTCTTGGATCCAGGTCTGAGAGAACAGTCTGCAGCTGTTCCTGGGGTCTTTCCCTCTGTCTCTCAGCCTCTCCCTAAGTTAGCTCCAGGGCTTGGGAGACACAGGGTGCTCTCCCAAAGCCTAGGTTGGCTGGATCCCTAGCTGAAAGGTGAATGTCAGGGAAACTGTCCGTCCTGTCTACTGTACTGGGACTCCACTCACTTTTATCTGCTGAACATGGTCACTGGGCCCTGTTCACCTCCTCCCTGGAGTCTGGGGCGTCTTCTGCTGTTCCAGTGAACCCCCATTTTCCTTCTTGAATTGAAGTCACTGAGTTTATCTTTTCAACACATTTTTTTTTCATTTCCAAATTACTGAAGCACACTAAAAGCCACTAATATGCCCTCTTGGGTGAGGGTGGGGGCACATTTTTAACATGTGTCCAGAATATAAAAATAACTTCTGGAAACAATTTAAAAAACTAATTACTATAATAGGTATTTTGACAAAATATAGTGTGAAGATTAAAAAGTGCATGAAGAGAAAATAGAGTTAGCTAATAAAGATACTAACCAGGAAAAGACAAATTAAATATAATACATTATCATTTTGTACTACTCCCTCTCTCCAAATGGAAAAATTTAAAAGAAATTGTATTTAATTGAATCTAAGATCTTAGTGAATATAGAATGTGCATGTTTTAAAGTTCCTTTAAGAAAAAACTTGTCATGTAAACTACTAAATGCTATTGATTGAAACACAAATATCAGTGTCAGAGATAAATATCTGTGTGAATTAACATTGAAGAAACATGTATAAGTAAAAAAACTTGTCTCTTTCTAACATTTACCATGAGTAAAGCTGTGGCTATTCTCACATTAGCTGTTTGGAGACATAATAGTTATATCTTTTGGGAATATACATAAGAATAGAATGATTGATTCAAAGCATAGGTACATATTTAACTTTATTACAAACTTCCAATCAGTTTTCACACATGGTGGAACAACTTCACAAGAAAAATCAAGTAAAAAGAAGACACAGAAAAACAAAATCTACTAAGTCCATTTGGTCAAGTGTCAAGTTTAGGTTCTGGATCTTCTTGTTGATTTTTTGCCTTGATGATCTATCTTGGGCTGTCAGCAGGGCATTCAGGTCCCCTGCTATTATAGTGTTAGAGTCAATATCTTTTTTTAGTTTATTTAGTAGTTGTTTTATAAATGCTGGTGCTCCTGTGTTGGGTGCATATATGTTTAGAATGGATATTTCTTGTGGATGAGTTGAACCTTTTATAAATATGTAGTGCCCTTTTGCATATTTTTAAATTTTTGATATCTTAAATGTTGTCTTGTCTGATAGTAAGATTACAACTCCTGCCTTCTTTTGTGTTGGAATATTATGCAGCCATAAAGAAGGACAAATATATGGACTTTGCAGCAACTTGGATGGATTTGGAGTTGATCATACTCAGTGATTTATCACAGAAACAAAGAACAGAGTTCCATATGTTCTTACTCATAAGCTGACCTTGAACAATTATAATGCTATAAGAAAGCGATTGGCAGTCGCGGGAGACTATTGGGGGGTGGGGTGGGATGGGCAGTTGAAGGGAACTGCTAGGGGAGGAAGGGGCATACCTCATCAACAAGGGTACCTGCATAATCAGTGTTTATATACCTAACCCTGAATTGTACCCAACATCTTTATAATAAAAAATTAAAAAGAAAAAAGAAAAAAATGCGAATTACATGACAGTGACTGGTATAAAATGGAAACAGAAAAGATAGAGCTAGACTTATGTAAGAGGATTGATGGAGAGGATAATATATAAAAAATAAGTGAAATATTAATATTTCATTACCTGTTTATTTTTAGAAACCCTGCTTAAAGTCTAACTTCTGAAGGAATAGAAGGTAATAGTTTATCTTTTATTGTAATAGCTTTCTCATCGTTTCATCACCATCTGGGAAGACAATCACTAACTGAAACATACACACACACAAGTAAAACGCTTATTACGTAAAAGGCCACCTAAGAGCCTGAGGCCATGATGGTCAAATGAAATCACAATATTATAGTGGGAAAGAATCAGAACACATTACAGAAATACCAGCATGACCAGAAAACCAATACTGACATGGAGTCCTAGCATTATAATGACTAGATAAATTCCTAGTTCTAGAAATGACTAAATGGAAATGAATGATTGGACTAATCCTTAAGTGGAAGCAAACACTTTTGAGTAGACATTTCAGATTCTATAGAAAATAACCTTCCACAGTGGATGGAGGGGAGGAGACGCTGATTTGACAGATTTATCCTCAAAGCCCAGCACCAGTCATGAGACTACATGGGAATAAGATTAATACCATATGTGATGAGACTCAGGCATAGTCCTCAGGAAGCAGAGGGATGGACAGGAGCCAAGGTTGAGAAAGTGCTCTTGCTTTGATACTGTCCCTAGCATGTGAGTAGTGGAGTTACATGATTATCTTAGGGATCTGGAACAAAGCTTCACACATTACAGATACTCATCTGGCAAGCTGAGTAAGATACATCACAGGAAACAAGTGGCCCACTGGTCTGATTGCAAGGTTTTCATCACATATTACACATCACACAGGTCACTCTCTGGAGGGCTGTGAATTAGAGTCCACACACCAGCAAGGACAATAATTCCACCGGTGTGCTCTGAAGAGATGCAAAGGTAGGAAGGGACTATGCCTTATCATAGACTTGTGTTTTTATTTTAGGAATTCCAGTGAAATTGAAGTGAATGCTTGAGCTATGGGTCATTGTAAGTTGAGATACAAGAAACTTGAAGATACAAAAATCTTACCTGATATCTTACAATGAGTAGTTTCTTTCCTTTTGGAATCTGAGGGACAAAGTACATATTCAAGTTTCAGTCTAGCAAGACTTAGCTCTACAATAAAATCAATAACAGTGTGTACTGTTGCTGAAAATAAGGCAGCTACAGCTCATTGAAGATTTACCTTAACTGGCTGCTTGGATAGGTGTGGGAATAAGGGTATAAATAAAAACCCAGGCTCTGCCCTAATCAGAGATGCAGAAATAAAATTGAATTTATTTTCCAGAGATAGAAAATCCTCTGCCACGGAGTTTTGATTTTAATCGAGAAAGATATTTGAAAGTGTACCTCTGCTGAACAGTGTTTTTTCTTCTGCCCCAGTGCCAACAGCAACACCTTGACATCAGAGACAAATGCAGCCAAGGAATTGTCCATGAACCTTTCTGGAAGTGGGAACATCTTACAGCCAGGCCAGTCAGGGGCTTGGGTCTTGCCCTCTCACCTGCAGAAGAGCCTACTTCTCTTCTTGAAAGGGCAGCCCTGCATCCTAGGGGTGAGTAGGCATGAGACGAGAGTGCAGACTTGGGAGAAAAGTGTCACTTCCGGAGATAGGACTGAGATTTCCTCAAGATGTCAAATTTTATAGATTGTGGTAAAGAGTTTTCTGAGCCTTCCTATACTGCACAAGACTTACACATTTAGGACCTGGAAAGAGACTGAATAAAACTATTTATTAGTGAAGAAAAAAAAACAAAAACAATCTCTACTTGAAGGCTTAATGTGTAGATTATATTCCTGGATGGCTTCCCAAGTTTGGGGTCTTAAAGGTAGGAAATAAATTAATGTGCAATGATCTTAGGAAGGCCTACCCCTGAGACACTGCATCTTCTCACCATATGTTTTTAACTCTCCAGGTGGCACAGATCCTGACTGGGCTGATGACAGTGTGCCTGGGAGTGACAATGTCTTTTTTCACTTCTTCACCCTATAGAATTGCGTTTCTTTCTATAACTGAAGTATACTATCATTTATGGGGATCCTTCCTGGTGAGTTCTAATCTTCTTTCCAATACCTCCAATTTCAGGAATCTGCAAATACTTTCATCCTTTTCTCTTGAAAAGTGATATACTTCTTTCAGACCCCAAACTTGGGCCAATTGGTTGGGTAGATGTTATTGGCAGGGGAGTAGGAAAAGCCAGGTTATTGTAGGAAAGGGAGTGCAGAGGCACTCTCTGAGTGGATTTTCTCTCTTTGGACAGTTTCTCGTGTCTGGAGCACTGTCCATTGCTGCTGGAAGGAAAGTGACCAAGAGTCTGGTAAGTGTCTTTTTGTTAAGCCTGACGGTTATAGAGAAATAGACATTGGTTGAGCCGTAAGGATCCACAGCAAAACTTGCTGGTTCTCTAAAGAAGGACTCTGGACATGTTCTGATGTGGTCCATAGAAATTTTTCCTCCATGCACTTAGGCAAGAATGATTGACTTGTCTCTGTGCCCTGAGACCTTCCACGTGCAACATGATACCTGCATAAAAGCCTGGAGTAAGCAAAACTACAGTTGTATGAGATGCTTCCTCCTTCTTCCTTAGATTCGGGGAGCTTCCTAAGTCAATTTCCAAGTTCAGATCAGCCGAGCAGAATGCCATTTTGTGAACTCTCAAAGTCAGAAAGAACACGGGACTGCAAATGTCTGACAGTCTTTCTCTATCTTTCTTTTCAGATCCAAGGCAGCCTGGCCATGAATACAGTCAGTGCCACTATAGCAGGGGCTGCCACAATTCTGTTGGTTTTACAACTTATGAGTTTCATTCCAATGACAAGTTTGCATCACCATGAAAATTTTCCTTTAGTAAGTACTTTTTGTTCCACTCATACAAGGATATACACTGGTTTTCTGTTCAGAATTTTTGTGTGTGTGTGAATTCTCACCATGAAGCTAACTGGAGTCATTGCATTTATAGATGTTGGACAGTCTCTTCAAGTTTATAGGATTTGGGCTTTCGAACCATGCCAAGAGAACTATACAGGGAAGTGAGCTTTTCAATAACCTTTCTTCTCTGACCACTCTAATAGAGTGTGACTGGCTTATGGAAAATTTTACAAGGATCGAGTCCAAGAGGCAATTCTCTTTTAATTTTCAATACTAGCTGAGGAAAAAAACAAGAAAAATGACAACTGCAGGTTTTCTGTGGTTTTCAAGCATGTTGTTCAACCAACTGAGATGACTGGATTGCATGCATTTATTTTCATGAATGTTCTGTGTATCTTGAGTGAGGAGGAAACTCAGGGGATTGAATGCAGACTGTTGTATGTCATAAGAAGCAATGCATTTCAATAGTCAAAGAGACTTCTATAACAAAATTAAAAACAAAAAAAAAACAAAGAAAAAAAACTATATGGGGTGTGGGGTTTGTATAAAACAACCACAAAATAATTTATATACTTTTTGGTCTAATCTGCTATACACACACACACACACACACACACACACACACACACACACACACACTCCAGGTGTAGTGGCATGCACCTGGAGTCCCAGTTACTCAGGAGGCTGAGGTGTGAAGATTGCCTGAACCCAGTAGGTGGAAGCTGCAGTGAGCCATGGTGGTTGCCACTGCCCTACTGCCCTCCAGCTTGGGCGACAGAGTGAGACCTTGACTCAAAAAATAAAAAACAAAACAAAGGACTGTGTGTGTGTAAACTGGGGTCTGACGATTAAGTTCGTGAACTCATCCTAGAAAAAGTGGAAAATACCTAATTGCTGAATATCACTATGGATACCTTTGAAGTATTCCTCCTGGGAAGTTATGCACTGATGCCAGTGCCTAGGCCTCCCATCAAAGCAATTTTGGAACTCTTTTTCTCGAATGGCCATCAGAGCTGTTGTGAGAATGTTGGTGTTTGAATTAGGGCAATGAACAGACATTACATTTCTTGTTAAACTTGGCAAGAGTGAAAATGAAATCAGGATCTTGTTAGTCCAAGTTTATGAGGATAATTCCATGAAGAAAACAGCAGTGTACAAATGGAGTACATGTTTTTCTGAGGGGAGAGAAAGTATCACTGATGAAGAGAGATCAGGACAACCAGTAACAAACAGAACTGACAAAAGCATTGCAAAAATTTGTCCAATTGTGTGCAAGAATTGTCAACTGACTATGAGAAGTATAGCAAACTAAATAAACAGGAAAATCTTAACTGAAAATCTTGGCATGAGAAAGTGTGTGCACAAATGGTCCCAAAGGAGTTCTTGCATCACAACAATGCACCAGCTCACACAGCACTGTCTGTGAGGGAGTTTTTAGCCAGCAAACAGATAACTTTATTAGAACACCCTCTCTACTTACCTAATCTGGCCCCCAATGACTTTTTTTTTCTTTACCCAAGGATAAAGCAAATATTAAAAGAAAGACATTTTGATAACATCCAGGACATCAAGGGTTATGGCAACAGCTCTCTCTCTATAATAAACACCAAATAAATTTTTAAGTCCAGGATATTATTGTTGACTATAGGCACTATAACGTAGAGCAGATCTCTAGGGCATATTCACCTTGCTCGAATGAATGTTTTTGTCTATTGATTATCAACTCCCTGTTTTCCCTACTCCAGGATCCTGGCAACCACCATTTCACTTGCTTGTTCTATGAGTTACACTCTTTCATATGCCCCATATGACTAGAATCATGCAGTATTAGTCTTTCTATGTCTGCCTTATGTCATCTGCATTTTAAAAATTTAAAAGACTTTTGAAATGCAGAATCATAAGAGAGGCATTGTTGGATCACATGGTAGTTCTATTTCTAAGTGTTTAGAGAAATCCCATATTGCTTTTCCATAGCGGCAGCACCATTTTGCATTCCTGCCAACAGTGTGTAAGGGTACCAACTTCTTTATCTCCTTACCAATACTTCTCTCTCTCTCTCAGCCATCTTACTATTGTGAGATGATGCTTTATTGTGGTATTGATTTGCATTTCTCTGATGATTAATGGCTTCAGTACTTTTTCATATACCTGTTGGCCATTTGCCTACCTTTGGGTCATGCCTACTAAAGGTAGTCAATTTTATAATTAGGTATTACATTTGTATTGAGTTGCAACTGTTCCTTATATATTTTGGAGATTAACACCATATCAAATACGTAGTTAGAAATATTTATTTCAGCCGGACTCGGTGGCTCAGCCTGTAATCCCGTGCCTTTGGGAGGCTGAGGTGAGTGGATTGCCTGAGCCCGCGGGTTCGAGACCCGCCTGGGCAGCGAGACCTCATCTCTACAATAAATCAAAAAATCAACCAGGCGTGGTAGCGCATGCCTGTAATTCCGGCTACTCGGAAGGCTGAGGTGGAAGGATCGCATTAGCC